GGGCAGGACGGCCGCGCCCGCGAGGGGGGTGGGGCCGCCTGGGGCCCCGCGCGCCACGTGGGCCCTCGCTCATTTCCCTTTTCCCCTGGCGGCCAGATTCAGAAGCTGGCAATTCGGTCGCGGTGACCGGATGTGAACGCCGGGATTTCCAACATAAGAATCACCCGGGGACGTTTAAAAATTCCGATGCCCAGGCTGCACTCTGGATTATTAAATCAGAATTTATGGGTTGGAAGGGGGCCCAGGTATCAGCATTTAAAAAGTTCCCCAGCTGTTTCCAAAGCACAGTCTTGAGGTTGGGAAGCCTTGTGTAAGAGAACAAAGGGGAAGCAGGTGCAGGAGTCGACGGCAAGGGGGAGCCGGGGCACGCCTGTGCGGCCTGCAGCGCACAGCACACATGCGGAGCTCTGCAGCAGCTTCTGATTCCTGCACTTGGCATCTAGGTCAACTGCTTCCCTGGCCCAGTGGAGGTAAGGAGTGTGGGCGGGCGAAACTCGCGGGGAAGCGGGTGGGGTGCGGGTGGGAGTGCGTGCAGCGCTGGCAGAGGCCGAGGAGGAGGAAGTGGGTGAGGGAGAAGTTTCTTCTAATAAGATGAGGTTGAGAAAAAAGAGAAAAGTCAATAGTGCACTCTGATCCAACCAGTATTTATTAAACATCTTGTCTGTGTACCAAGATCGAGAAGATACAGCAATGCTACATCTGTCAAAAAAAAAAAGATGAAAACATTAGCCAATCATCTAATTCGTGTAAGCGTAAGTCACCACTGAACTGCTTATCATAGAGGGTGGAGTTTGATGGGTGGTGTAAGGAGCAGAAATATCAATAAATTGTGAGGCGTTGAAGGAAAAACAGGGAGTCAGGACAAGATTGCGTTTGGAATTCACCCGGGATTGAGTAGGCGGCACACAAGTGGTGAAGGCTCAGAGGAGAGCATCTTCGCCAACGTGTACCTGGGACAGACCCGGGTGTGTGAGGAAGTGCACGTTTGTTCTCTATTTGGCTGTGAGAAGAAACAGTTAGGGTGTATAAGCCTGGAAAAGTAGGTGCAGGGGAGATTCTTGACTGTCATTTCAGTGCTGTAGGCAGTGGTGAGCTGTGGAAAGCCTGCCAGTAGCTGATCCCTCAGGTGAATGGGGCGGGTGCGTGTGCATTGGTTTCAGGTCAGCCGTCATCATCCAGGGCCATGTGCTGGGCAAGGCTCTGGGGAACAGCCCTGGGTGCATAGAAGAGGGGCACCTAGCCACCTGGATATGAAGAGGTAGCTGGGCTGGAAGCG